TTTTTTTTTTTTTTTTTTTTTCTGTGTATGTGTTTTTTGTTTGTTTTTTGTTTTTCTTCAAAACTCTATTTACTTAAAAACTGAAAAATATTCAATGTTTAATTTATCGGTATAATCGCAATCGGTAGCGAAAGAATAGTCTATTAGTCGGTTGGTTAGTCAGTTCGGGTTGATTGTTTGACTGCCTCTTTGGTGAGCTATTTAGTAATCTAATTATTTAGTTGGTTAGTTACTTAGTTAGTTAATAATTCAGTGACACCCGTGTCAAACTTACATAAAGAAAATGTTTCGTTATATGTTGACAAGAAAAAGTTTTTTCCCTTTTTATCATACACTTTCTTCGTTAAGCATACAAGTTTATGTAACAAGTAGAAAGATATTCCAGAAAGTAAAAGGATATCCTCAATGCTAATGTTATTTAGGTAAATATAAAAAAAATCACTTATGCTTTTGCTTTTTAGACAAATAAAAAAAAGCACATTTTATTAACATGTGTGCTACATAACGAAAAAAAATTAGATGAAATGAAGGAGCAACAAAGAAAATCTGTTCAAAAACAATGCAACTTTTAACGAAAAGAATGATATTGAACCATGATCTCTGCCCGTCAACCTCAATTTGGTGCTTACGAAAAGTAAATCCTATACGTATGTAAATGGTAAATTTATGGCCAAAAACGAAAGAAGAAGAAAAAGACACAAGCAAATGAGTCCCATAAACAAGGCAATAGCAATAAACCATTATGTTACTGTCAATTATAATGATTAAGTTAACACTTACCAACTTTATTAGTTGCATTTAGCACTTCATGAGCAAAAATATCCATTTAACAAATATATCAATTTAAGGGACTGTAAATGATAAAAATAAAAATGGAAGGCCAGAAAGCAAAAAAAATTCCACATAAAAACCACTGGTACTGCGAAAAATAGCAACAGCAAAGAAAAAAAAAAGCAACAGCAGCATAACCGATAATTATTATTTGATTTTCATCTCCTCTTCCATTACCCTTCCCCACTAACCTACCCTTTTCACCTTCCCTTCCAATACGACAAAACGCCAACGTTTATTAACCTTAAACAAAACCAGTACCAGTAATAGCCTAGAAAACAGTGTTATATCCGCAAAAAAACCTCAAGAGAAAATTCTACTTGGAAAAGTTATAATTTCTAAGTCTCTTAGCGAAAAACAGCTATTTTTCCTACGCTTTTGTAACCAGAAAATATATCTGCAGCATACACTGTAACTGCAATCCGTTACCCAGACTGTTGTCAATGTTCAGCAGAAACAGGCTGTTCAAAAAGATTAACCTGAAAAAAAAAAACATCTACGTAGAAACGGGGCAAAGCAGCGGCGTCACTGAGGGGGTGGCAAAAAATGAGGCATAAAGAAAGAGAGAATAAGAAACGAAATTGTGAAATGGAGACGAGAAGAGAAAAAGACGAAACAACAGAATGTGGAAAAGACTGCCAGTTGTTAGGCATCAACAACCATGCAGGCCAAACACGCTGTGCCCCGTCCCTGTTCCTTGACGAACAGAAGTCAGTTTTTCTATTTTTCTACCTGTTTCTTCCCCTTAAAATAATCCCTTCCTCCTCTTCTTGTCCCCTACTTCATCTCTCGTGTATCTTCTCTCCCGCAATTCAAATTTCTATGCCGGTAGGGAAAGGAAAAGGAAAAGAGAAGAAAACAGGAGTTTGAAATAAGTGCTTGTTTTCGATAAAGAGTTTGGTTACGTGGCTTGTCGAAGGTGATCGCTGGCACAAATCCTTCAATGTTTTATTTTTTTCTTCCCCTCTTTTTTTTTTGTCTTTTGTGGACAGATTTTAAAGGCATGTGGTAAAAATAGCTCTCAACCTCTATCAGAAGGGCATTGATAGAAATAGTATTGCAACAATAATTTGCTTTTATCAGCA